CCCCAAAACCCCAAAACCCCAAAACCCCAAAACCCCAAAACCCCTATTATTAACAAAATGGTTGAATAGAGTCAACCAATTTACATAAAATTATACCAGATCATTTAAGAATTCCTTTGAAGGATGTAGTCCACAAATCCGATTAGCTTTTGTGAAATCTCAGTCTGTGGAAAATCTGATTGCGTCAATATATCTCTAGCTTGCCTAAAAATAGCCCTGATCGGCTCTGAAAAGGCTACATACTTCAAAATCTTCTTTTTCGAAGTACTCTCTCTATTCTTCAGCATTCTTTCCAACTTCCTACAATACTCCTCATCAAAACCCTCTTTCCTCAGCCCCCTAATCAGCAACATGCACTTTCCATACGGAAATCACAACATACAGTATTCCATAAACGACTTCACAAGACCATATTCTCCACTAGCCCCATCACTGACCTGAGGAACGTAGCTTTCCAAGAAACTGAACAGGAAGGAATGCACCTGGCCCTTCTTGTACATACTTTTGGAAGAACAGGTTTTGACTAGGAAAAGAGGAAGGCTACGTAGAAGGCGGTACAGTTTTATAGGCACGCTGTCTAGTCTACATGGAATTGAACAAATAGCTCTGATTTCAGTTTGTAGGTGAGATGAAATAAGATCTTTCAGTTGGCTGGTAGTCTTGTAAGGCTTTAAACGTCTTCTTCCAGGCATAGTAGGTATGAAGGTCCCACTATCGATCTCTGATTGTCTTTGGTGCAGAGAGGAGTAGGTTTCCTGGATGTAGTCGCAGATTGAAAAATTTATATTTTGGAGTGGAGTGATACTACTACCAGTTTTCTCTTCTTCAAGTGACTCCTCAGCAGTATCCTCAACTTGCTCTTCACTTCCTCCAGATTGATCATTAATGGAAAAGTCACTAATCAGGTCATCTGAGCAGGGTCTTTCTTCTTTAGGAATGAGTATCATTGCTAAGCTTAAAATACACCTTCTGGAAGATTGCCCACTAGTTCATGCCATCCATAATCATGGTGCAGGAAAGAAGTGTCAAGGAAGCTTTCAGTTTGATTCATGAAAGTCTTGTCAGAAGGCTCAGTCACCCTGGGCAGGAACAAATCTTCGATGATCCTATGGTTAACTGTAGTAGTGATTCATCCTTTAAGTTTTGTATCAAGGCGATTCATGGTATTTTATTTTTATTATAACCTTAGTAATCTTCTATTTAGATGGAGATTTAGGGGTTTTGGGGTTTTGGGGTTTTGGGGTTTTGGGG